CCCTAAGGCCTTCTCAGAAAGCCATCCTCCCATCAGCAGGGAGTCAGAACCTTCCTGACAGCTCCATACAAGGGCTGCAGAGGTCACAACCCCAAACAAATCCGAGCAGGGATGAGAGCCAAAAGAGACACCAAGCAGCCCAGTTCCAGAACACAACCAAGCGCAGAGCAACCTCCACAACTCAGCCCAATTCTGCTGTTCTAAAGAAGCTGAAAGCCAACAGCATCAGCAGACAGCACAGGGAAAGCAGCAAACGTCCCAGCCATACTGCAGGAACACACTCACATGCACACTGCTGGACAAATACTGAAAGTGTTAAATCTGACCCAATGTCAGCAAATGACTGAAAGGCCTCAGCATTCAAAGTACCTGCAGTCACTACCAGGCCTGTGTCAGCAGAAGGGCTATTCTGCAAATGTGAATAGAAACCTGGATCAAAACACAACAGGAGTGGGGGAAATCTTCTTCCACGTGTGCAGAGTTTGAGGTGCATTCTGTGGTTCACTTCTGTCGCATTTCCCAAATCATCCCTTTGTTTTAAAGCATAACTTCCATGTTTCAAAATATTCATACTGAAGAATTGATTGTTTTCAAACAAAACCCAAATAATTTTTCTTGAAATAATGTTATAGAACCACTGCTTTCAAGTAAACCTCCTGCTAAACAAACCAGGAGAGCAGACGTAGGTGCATGTGTACATGGGCTGAAGTGCCAAATTTACACTTGTAACACAACAGTTAATTCCCCATTCATAGAGAGCATTACTTCTGTAACGCAGTGAAAAGTGCAGCAATGGCAGCAAAGCAGCAAGGTCCCAGGCTGCAGCAAATAAGGACTTGCTCAAATGCAACAGGCATGGGAGCAAAAATGAAGGAAAAGAGCTGCTTACCTTCAAAAGGCCTCAGGTATGCAGGGACCTCTAACAAGAAGCCTTCACTTCCACTGCCAATCCTTAAGTGAGGTCTGGGCAGGGGTGGATCCTGGCTCCAGCCCTTCTGGTCACTCAGTGCATTGAATACACCTGAGTTGCCCTGGGTTGGCCCTGCCTTCCCATCAGGTGCTCAATCACTGCTTCAAGCCCTGACTTAGCATTTCTGCCACAACGTCAAAGTCAATTCACCCCATAACAAAACACAAGCCCAAAATGCAGCTGCTCTTCTCCTGGGCATCCCTGCATGCAAACTACAGTATAGGCAGAGCATCCTATCTCTAACACAAGAACAAGCCAGCAGCCAGCTGAGGAATCAGGGCATAAGACTCCGTAAAGGAAAGTAGAAAAAGAAACTGTCAAATTCAATGGCCTATTTGCTTTTCTGCTGCAGGTAAGAAAAAATTCAGACTGAAGAACCGTTTCCTGGAAAGTTCTTCCACGGATTTATTTCTAAGTCCAGACAGAACTCAGATTGCCTTAAGATGCATCTACAAATGGCACTTTGCACTAATGCCTCTGCATTAGCGGTATGCTACAGCAGTGCCTTCTTCATTTTAAGCATGGTTTGCTGTGGCTTAAAGGATCTATATGTGATTCAAAGCAGTCATAAGAACTTACCCTTCAACCCCAAGGCCAATGCATTCAGAGCTCTGTGAGAGCTGGAGGAAGCTGAGCTGCTCTGCTCCCTATCAGCATCCCATGGCAGAGCTGGGAGAGCTCAGAGCAGGAACCCCAGTGCTGCATCACTACCCAAAAGTTGGAGATATCAGCACACTCTCACAACACAGTGATGAGATTTCTGGTAATGAGGAGATACTGAACCTCCCTGTTAGAACAGCTCTATCTTTTAGAGAGAAAACCTGAGAAGTCCATCTCCTTCAGCAATAAAACGTAAGAGGTAGTGGACAGTACCAGAAGGCACATCCCTTGGGCAGTTCCTCCCTATCTGTTCTTAGGCAGATCACCAGCAAGCACCTGGAGTAGCACTGCTTAAAAACAGACATTTCACAAAGGAGGCACCAGCACTGGAGATCTGACACAGTGACGCCAGCAGGCAGGAGGACACCCACAAAACCAGCAGCCATTCAGCAGTTTGTCTTAAAGTTTCACCCTGACGGCCCTCTGGTCATTATGGTCATCATGAAGTGGGATTTCTCCAATCCCCAACTGAATCATTGCCCAGGCAACGCAGCAACACTGCAGGCTGAAGAACCGAAGTCCCCATTACATTTGATAGGAACCAATGCAACCAACTCCTCTAAGGGTGGGTGAGCAACCAGCTGAGCATTCAGCACAGCAGGGGGGTGAGCCTCGAAGAGAACGGTCTACAAGGGTTTTAGTCTTGAGCCCAGCTCACAAGGAAGGAGAACAGATGACCTGAGCTGAATGCCTCTCTGCATCCTCTGGACAGAGCATGGCCAACAGCTGGGGTGCTTTTAAGCTCAAGCCCCATTCCAACCTGGCAGGACACAGACAGCACAGTCCAGGTTTCACACTGGAAATCAGAGCTTCCATCAGTGCCAAACTTCAAGTCATATTTCTCCTTGTAAAACGATATCAACACATTCAATTGGCAAAATATTAAACAAAAGGCTTCTAATTGGCTGCATTAAGATGATTTTTTAGCTCATTCTAGATGGCTGGGAAAGAGCCAAGGAGAGAAGCAACAGATGGTAACAGGACACTTCATAATTTCCAGCATTTTTATTTCTTGTAAAGAGCACGCCATGTATTCTTATTACACTTCTTCACCGCTAAAGGAAACTGCTGCTTCCAAAAGTTTTCACCCAAAAACCCAATCCAACTTTACAGGCATTTGTAAAAGCATTGACAGACTCCAACTTTGTCTGTGGGTTGCATTTTTTGTGTGACATCATCTGTTGAAATATGGGAAAAAATGAGCTGGAAGGGCAGTGCTCAGAGGCAGTTCAGTTCGTGTCACTTTGGGCACTGTGATTTCTCTGTTTGCTCTGGAAACCTTCTCTCCTGGGTTTCTTCCCTCTTTCTTTGGAGCTATTGATGGATCCGCATCTGAGAACCAGCACAAACATTTTATTCCTCCACGCACACAGAAAACTGGCTAAAATGAAAATGAAACAAACAATCTGGGTTGAAAGACAACCCGAAAAAAAAACTTGGATAGATGCTAAAAAAAAAAAAACAACCCTCCAAAGTCTGTTTAGTCGACATCGTCAAGAGTCCAGACCCGACTCCTCCCTCATCTAAATTAGCTGATGTCCTATTAGGAGGTTCATTAGGAAAGCTCAAAGCTCTTTGCAGCAAGAGCCATTAGGTGGAGCAGAAGCTGGCCCTACTAAAGCTCTCCAGCCACCACAGCATCGCTGCTCCAGCTGGACCAGACTCCTGCAGCTGCAGCCCAGAGCGAGCCAGGCGTTCCAGCAAGGTTACCTGGTGGCTCTAAGGGCGTTGGAATGAAGCCGGCTGAAGGGCAGACCCTGATAAGCTGTAAGGATGCTCTTAAAGGGTTGAAACGCGAGTATGGCTGCAGACAAAAGGGGGAAAAAAAAGAAAACGTTGTGATCTTTCTTTCGAAACAGTTGTGATTGTGTTAGTTGAAAACTGAACTACGGCCGGAGTCAGAGAGCCGGCTGCACTCAAAGGAACCAGGAGGAGCCAGCATTGCCCCAGTGTTCTTCTGGTCAGAGCTCCATCAGTCTGCACTGTGACAAACTCCAGCAGCAAACTCCATTCGCTTTTCCTGGTGTTCCACAAGCATTTTACCCCCTGACCAGCCATTCATTTTCTGCCCCGCTCACATCTGCGAGCAAACCAGCAATGAAAGCTCTCCCACGTAGCACTTTTTCTAAAGGTCATTTCAGATACAACGAAACGACAGCAATTAGCAAACGGGCTGCTGTATACAGAATCCCCCCAGCGTTTGTGCTGGTGCCACGCAAACAGCCCCACAAGCACCGGCTGCTTGGGCTCTGCAGTGAAGATGCCAGCCCTGGGGAATGGAGCAGCAACACCAAAACCCAGCCAGCACAGCTCCACGGGCATTGCTTTGTTTCAGGTCACCCTGCCAAACTCCATCTTCAACTTTTCAGACTTCAAAACGAGCTTTGCCAGCAAGCCGCTCCTCAGTCTGTTCCTTCCTAATACGACTTAAAGAGATCCCGGAGCACCAATACCTCCAAACATCTGCTAAAATCCCAGCAAACACCCTGAAAACTTGCACAGCATTCCCACAAGCACGCAGCCTGCTCTGGTATTTCGCGTTGAGCCCGGGGAAGGCAGACATTTGGAAAGCAGAGCTCTCAAAATGCACTCCAGCAAACCAAAGCATCCACTTGGCAAAAATCGAGTGCTCCGTCCCGCTTCTGCAGGGCCATACAAATGACACTGTGGGGTTTCTCACTGCATGCCCAGCGCTGTTCCACATCTGCTGCTTCAGTGTGTTTTCCCTCATCCCACTCAGGAGTCATCATTTTAGGGAAAAAGCCCATAAATTGGGGTTGGGGTGGGAGGAGAGGGCAGAGAACACGCCTTGAGATGCCGAGCAAAGTCTGCAGGCTTTGGTGCATGAGATCTGCTCGGAGAGGAGAGCAGATTACTTCTGGACTAAAGTTTCTTCCCCACGGGGAGAAGAGCTGTAAGAGAAGCGAGGCTTCCCGTTGATTAAACACAGATACACGCACAGCCACGTAACGAACTGCAGCCTCCAGAAAACACATCTCGACTTTTTGCTCCAAAAAGAAAAGAAGAAAAAAAAAAAGAAAAGAAAGAAAGAAAGAAAGAAAAAAAGCAGCACAGCAAAGGCAGATCCTCTTGAAGAAAGACGGAGAAAGAACTGCTTTAACTTTTTCCCCCCCTTTTACGGGCCCCCTGACAAACGGCGCTCGGACCCGAGCAGCTACAGGCTGTCGGGTTGTGGGGGTTTTTTGGCTTTTTTTTTTGGTTTCTTTTTTAACTTTCGTACATGGACAAACCGCGTCGCATCGCACAAAGCCCACCCAGAGGGCATCGCGTCTCCTCGCTCCGGCTCAGCGCCGCAGCTCCTGGGGGGGTTGGATGAAGGGGGGGGGTCCCGGGGGTCCTGCCCGCTTACCTGCCCGGCCCAGGGCCGCGGTGCCCAACAGCACCAGCGCGACGTGCAGCTGCCAGCTCCGTATCCAACTGCGCCTTTTCCATCGCGTGTGCGTATCCATGGTCCACAAAAAAACGGGGCACCAACTCGGGACAATTTGAGGGGAAGCAAAGAAATAAACAAACAAAACAAAACAAAAAAAGGCAGCGAAAAAAAAAAAAAAAATCGCTGGGGGTTTCTTCTCTTTCTCTTCTCCTCCCCCCCCACCCCGCCACCCACCCCCCGAGAGCAGCCGCTTTATAAAGCCATGGGACGGCTACTGAACTGTCGGGGGCTCTTCCGCGCTCCGCTCCGCCGCGCTGCCCCCCGGCCCCTGCCTTCTCCTGCAGCGAAAACTTTCTTTCTCTTCCCCCCCTCCCTCCTTCCCTTTTCTTCTTTTAAACCCAAGGCGAGACTTTGTCAATCTCGGAGCCGCGCAGCAAATCAGGGCCGGGCGGAGCGGCCCCCGGCCCGGGCCCCCCCCCCCCCCCCCCTCTCCCGGCCCGGCGGCAAGTTTGAAGGCTGTCGGACTGTCCCGGCCCCCAAACGATCTCCCCTTCCCTTTCCCTGGCAGCTGACACGGGATGCATTGGTCCCGGTTGCCCCCGCTCTTTCTCCAGTCCCGAGGTGTGGGGCAGGAGGGAGGGGGGGAGGGCTTGGAAGGGGACACGGTGGCAAAAACGCGAGGATTTGGTAAATAAGATAAAAGGAAGCAGTCATTGCAAAGGAGGGCAGGAAAGCAGCAGCAGCTGCATGCTGTCAGCTTGCCACAGGGCCCAGCCCGGGTTCTGCTCCTGTTGCTCTTCCTCTCTCTGAGCCACAGAGCACTACAAATGGTATAAACATCAGCTTCAAACGATGGCACTCGTTCTGGCACTGTACAGCAGCAGTGCTTGCACAGCACTGGGCAAAAGTAGCCGTTCTGACCTCCCCACATTGCATCCTTCCCCCCCAGCTGCCCCAGGATCTTGGCAGAGGATGGACCTCACACTGCAGGACGAGGTGGCTCAATGCTGCTGAGCCCCCAAATCACACATCATTGAGGCAGAAAGGATAAAACAACCAAACAGCCTTCTCTCTTAATTAAAAGGCATTGAAGACACTTGCTAGCATCAATACTTTGCTGTCAGTGCCACTTAAAGATCCAAACAATGCCCATAGATGGCATGCACCCAGGTGAAAGGTCTCTGTTCTCGTGACTTCAGCAACTGGAGTCACACTGAGCTCCAAAGAGCAGTGATTTCACTGATAGACTCATGCCCTCAGCCACACCAAAGCTTTCCAGCCCTCCCCAGTCTTTTCAGAGCAGCATCTTGAGGGCCTTCATTGCTTTTAGGGATAAACCATTGCTTTCACTCAGACTCCTGTACTGCCTATGGGTTTGGTCATTCAGCACTGCAAAGACCTGGCCATTTCTGCTTATCAGGAGGAAACAACACATAGTTTAAGGGCCATCCATCCTGTTCCTTCTTTGGAACACCTGTAGGAAGAGGATTCAGTACAACAGGGACTTGCACAGAGCTCCAGCTGCTTGCTTAACATCAATCCTTAACCTGCTGGAATGAAAGATCCTTGGAGAGGTAGCTGACATCAAGTGGCACATCAAAACCCACGAGTACAGGAGACCAAATCCCACCAGATCTGCAGAAGGGAGCAAGAGGAAAGCAAACGTTGCCAGTGCACTCAGCTAACAGCCTAAGGAAATCATTTAATGGTTCAGTGGAAGAGAAGGATAGGAAATACTTCCCTTCACCCACCTCAACCTGTTGAATTCTTTCCCCTTCCCAGCAGCATTGCTGCAAAAGTGGGGGGGGCTGCAGCATGAGCTGCAATATGAGGAGATTGCCTGATCAAACTATTTCACCAGGGAGGTGAGAGGCACGTGGGCTGCCCCACGCCGGGAGCTGGGAGGCACACAGTGTGTGCTGGCTGCAGCTACACAGTGAGCGCAGTGCCAATGGCACTCCCAGGCACGTCTCAGATGAAAGCCTCTTCCAGTATACCCACCTTTCATGAGTAACCATGTGGCAGGAGGCTGGCGAGACAAATTAAGTTGTGCTCTATATTCGGGAGGAGCCTGGAGGCACGTTCTTGCAGTACAAATAACACCTGTGCATCCCTGCAGACATCAGCGCTGAGCGCACGCTGGGTGCAGCCCAGCCATGGCACTGCCCATCAGCACTGCACGTCACACTCACAGGAACAGCTTCCCGTGGGCTCTGGTATGGGACAGAGGGAGATACTGACTCTCCCCTCAGTCATATGGAAAGAAATCATCTCAGATGTATGGATGCAGACCTAGGGCAGCTACAAGGACAGCACATCCTGCAGGTTGCACAGACCTACCTAACCAGTAACCCCTCTTGTTGTGATAGCAGAACGAAGCAATAACTCAGTCTGCAAATCTTTCTATGGATGCTTCATCTCCTGCTCAGAGGCCCAGGAACCCTCACAGGGCACCAGCATCCAACTTCATAGAATCATAGATTTCAGCCTCCATTACACAAATGCCAGCCCCCCTCGTCTTCGCGCTCCAGATGTTGCTGGCATTTCAGATTGCACAAACAGCTCATTGTTTGGGAATGAGACCCTTTTTGTCTTCCCCAGATGCAAGTGAAAATCCCACTAACACCTGAACACTAGCCAAAGTGTTAAAATCCCCAGCCCTTTCATAGAGCAAACAGCAAAAGGAAGGATTTCTGGTACACTGAAAGCACTGCAGACAAGGAAATCAAAGCAGGCCAGAGCAGCACAACCCTAACTTACAACCATACTCCAAATACTCCCAAAGTCCCACTCCAGAAACAAGCCAGAATACCCAAATCTCAACTCTCATCAGATGTGAAGCTACTTTGCTTTACCTAGCAGCTGAGAACACAGCTCAGGGAGTTTTGCTGAACAGTACAAGTCTGAGTTTCCAGTTGCTTTCCAGGTGATGTAGAAGCTTGCACAGACCTGTTTGCCCCTCCTCAACAATAGCAGAGCAATACAACATTAAGCTTGTGATAGCAAACTGGAAAATTCCAGCATTCACGTGCCAAGTTTAAAGAGCCAGCCCCTGCCTTGGAGTTGCCTGGGTCTTCTATACAGCGCTGCAAGCTCCCAGCAGCTTCACACCAGATGGGTTTGTTCACTCCAACTCAGACCCTCCAGCAGTCAGTCAGGGTAACATCCCAATAGCCACCAGCAACTGCAGCAGTTGTGGATGGCCGAATATCTCTAGGGAAATGGCAGCTCTTTATAACTGTATTTTTACAGCTAAATGCATCTTGAGCTCAGCTGAGAGAGGGAGATGTTGGCGAGCTTTCCACAAGACCCAGGATACACGGGTAAAATAAACTGATAATCACCCATGTGCCATGAAACCAGTCAGAGACAAGCATTCTGCCAAAGCACTCCAAAGCATTCTGTGATTCAAAAGTAAATATTGGGATAATCAGAAATACTCCAGGTTGTACTGATAATAAGTTAAATCCTATGAACGCCTGCCAAGAACGGGCTGAAAATGAAACTCTTAGAGCTGCTTGAGCTGTTGCATGAATAACCAGGAAAGACAAACGCTATCAGGAATTACTTCAAATGCTATTCAAGGGCAGTCTGTAAAAAGAATTTCCCTCCTTCCTCTCCAATCAGATAAAGCACCTTGACTCCTTGTGAAGATGTAGGGCTGTTGCGTCCATCCCAAACGCAACCTGCTTGAAGTGCTTCATGCTGAATCACAGTGCTGACCTGCAACCTCCCACCTCTCAGACTCCATTTCTGTGACAGATCCCCCCCCAGATGTGAAACACAGGGTTAGAAATACTTCTCCTAGTTAAGATTTTTACCTCCCAGAAAGCCAAGTTGCAAAACAAGAATAAAACCAGCACCACTCCAGCATTAAACACCTGCTTTGGCTTCGCAGTGCTGGGAGCTGGGCAGCCCGCACTTCAGCCGTTCTGTTGGAAATTCACATCTGATTTTTGCCATGAGGTGGCACCAGGACAAACCCCATCAGGAGAGCGAGCAGCCAGCACGAGGTGGGGCTTGTTTTTTGTGCATTTAAACATTTCATAGTCAAAGAGGCTTGTTTAAGAGAGGAAATAGCATTATGAACAGACTTTCCACTCCTCCTCTTTTTCCAGTGCTGCTGCCTTCTCTTCAGCTCAGTGTGAACAACTCCAAGCTTTGTGTTTGAACAGCATTGATATTAAGCACAGGGACAGAAATCACACCACAGTGGCTGCAAAGGATGAACTCAGTTCACCCCACATCAGGCTCCTCTCTGCATCCAGTGCCAGCCTGAGAGATGGACAGGAGAGCTGCTCTTCCCTCTCCTTATCCCCATGTCCCATTTCTTCATGCCCTGTGATCTATGGCCAATGGCCCAGGCTAAATCCTCCATCATCTGTCTAGACTTCATACAGATGACCCTTGGTGCTGCAGAAAGCTTTATGTTAAGGCACAAGGGCCTGGAAGTTACCCTATGATCTTCACAAGGGCAAAAAAAATAATAATAATTGAGGTATTCCTTTGTTCTTCAAACTCTGGGTGACCCTAACACAGGCTTTGCTGAGTACAGGCTGCAAAAGTCAGCTTTGAGCTCTAGTTTGTCCATCATAATCATGGCTGAAGATTAGAGGTGAGCCCTACCACAAGGCTTGTGTGCAGGTCCTCAATTCCCAATGGCCTCCAGGGTCAGCCTTGTGTGCCATTAGGGATATTTCCATCTAGACCACTGGTGTTTATTTCCAAGTGCCTCCACCAGAATTGCTTTCAGCATTCTTCCCCAGGGATGAAAGGGGATGGACAGGACACAAATGAGCAGATGACAGCTTGCAATCCATGCATCTCCTCTTTTTGCACGCTAACAGCAGTCACTGGGACTTATTTTTCCCCAGTAGTTGTCACGTTTCTCATTGCTATTCCAGGAATGCTGATGAACAGCTGTGCTGGGGCAGCTGATTTTCCAGAAATGAGGCATCCCACTTCCCTGCTACCTTACATTCCCCAGAATAATGAACTGGACAGATGTGATCACATCCACCAGTCATTCCTTGTTACCAGCCTCTTTGTCTGATCAACATTCTGGTTTTTGCCAAATACTCCATGCACAGTTATTTGTTATTGCTCAAGGTCAGCTTTGGTAGCTTCTAGGTATAAACAAGCTTTGTGTTGTACCAAGAAAAGGGCCTGCATTTCATTTTCTCCTACCACAATTAGCTAATTACA